TTTTAAACTTCCTCTGTTTTCTATATTGAAAGACAATGACAATTATAATTGCTCAAGTAATAATTTTACGCAACAAAATTGTTATACAGTGCAACCTTTACTCCAGTATGAACTGCCAAAATATGAATTACAAAATGTGAATTTATTTTTACCTATTTTGGAATCTAAAAATAACAACATGTAAGAGAGTGATCTATCTATCTCTCCAATAATTTGTAATAAAAATTTATATGTTTTTAAAGAAGATTTAGATACAAAGAAAAGTATTTCACAAAATCCTGTTGAAATTTTGCGATATATGCAAAAAAAACTGATGACTAAAAAGCCACTTGAAATCACAGACCTTGCTGTTTGTCCAGATGGAGAGACATCTTTTATTCTTGTAGATCGTTCAAATATATTTTTAGAAAGAAGGACACTGTTTCAGTTGCCTTCCTCTATCATTTTATGATTGATATCGATTGAGAATTTCATGCTGATTAAGAATCGTATGAAAACATTGACCTGAAATTTTGAAGAAAGCACTCTAACGAAGAGTTGCTAGATATTAGAAATAAACTGATTACTCTGGAAGTACAATTTTATAACGAGGTAACTCTTATAGCATTAATTATATCATTAAAAATGGTTTCATTAATCATAAAATAAGGATGCTAAAGATTTTGGAGGTTTCAGGAAAGAGTTCTTTGAAATTATTTTGCGAAAGATTAGGCAAAAATATTTCGAGAATGGAATACTTGATTCATTCCCTGAAGATTATTATGCAGTTGGTTTAGCATTTGGTACGAGTTTAATTATTTTAGCATAGTTAATTCGTTTATGTATCATTTTATGTATAAGCTATGCATGTGTAACATGCATTAAAGTTTTTTATTAAACTAAAAATAATATTTGAATTTAATCCATAAATAATTTTTTCTACAAGTTTAGAATTAATATCATGCATATAGACATTTTAATAAGTTATATAACATTTATATAGTTTGAATTATATTGATATATAAATTTAAATATTTTGAATTGTCAAAAAAAGATATTGTATAACTTTTTTGTATTATTTTTTCAATACAGGTTTTTCTATATTGTAGAATGGTAAACTTTCAAAATTTCTATGCAAAGTCACATTAGATGAGATTTTTTGTGCCACTGCGCCGAAACCTTGCTATAATGAAATGCGATCTGCCTTTAAAGAGTTTGGAATATACAAATTAAGAAACAGGCTATATTGACTTGTTTTGTTATAGCAAAACAATCAGTAACATTGCTATTTAATAGTATGATGTTTTACATCCAATAGTACTTAAAAATTTGTTCTTATATACATTAATTGTAGTTGTTTGATTTGGTTAATAGATTGCTCATTTTCTACCTGCCATATTGTAACTTTTTAATTCATGTAATATAAAAAAACTGACATTCAAGCGTTTGTCAACACTTTTAAAGCCATCATTTGCAGAAGTTGGATTAAATAATTCTGTGTTTCAATCTAAAATCTATGCTAAGTTGCTGGTAAGTATTTTAATATATGTTAGTTATTATATTAATATCAATTAGGTTATGCTGGTAAATATATAAATATGATATATTATTAGAATCAGTTAAAAATTTCTTTCTTAATTATGCAATTCTAAAAAACTATTATGTATTCATTGTGCAAGTTACACTTCATTTATTTAAATTTATTTTTTAAAGGTGGTAGAAGAAATGGTGTTACTTTAGAAAGAGTGTTACAATTTGTGACTGGGGCAGAAGCAGAACCTGTGTTAGAATATGAACTCCACCCATCCATTTCATTTATTGGTGCTGAAAATGGTTGAGTTCCAACTTCAAACACATGTTCCAGTGTATTAAATTTATCATGGCCGTCTATGGAAAATAATATACCTAAAGAAGAAAAAATATTTTGACATTATGACTTGGCATTCAATAATGCCTTTTTTGGCATCTTGTAAAGTTTTGACCAAAGAAATGTTAATGTTTTCTTTGATTTTTATTGTTAAGCTTTATAACTTTTAACTGTGTTAATAAAATTAAATTTGTTATGTAGTTTACCTAGCAAAATTTAATTTGAAAAGTAATTCAATTTCGTTATGTACATTTTCAAAACGGTCGGCTATCAAAAAGTGGGGTTAATAGTTTGCCACCTTTAATAAAATTATTCAAAACAAAAATTTAAAAGTATTTGATTAGGTTTAACATAATTAGTTATAAAATAGTTTAACTATATCGCTAGCTCTGGTATACATAGTGATACCAGAGTCAACGTCAAATATAGATTTAGGGACTAAATCTAGTTCCAAGTATAACAATGCTTGGCCTAGATCGGGTGCTTCAAATATCTGACGTTCATCAGAATTTAAATATTCATGAAGAATTCCTTCCGTGCCGTAGTTTTCAAACTCGTTGTTGTTAAGCTCAAGACGCATTGGATTATTGAGTTGTCCACTCACTCAAAGTTTTAAGTGTGATGTCTTAATCGTTCGCATACGATGATTAGCCCAAGCATGTCTCCATATATCAAATTTTTCATTAATTTTTTAAATATAAACTTCCATGGAAGATAGTTACATACTCGATCCTTCCAATTCAGAAGAACAAGTCTTCTGAATTGGAAGGATCGAGTATGTAACTATCTTCCATGTAATAAAATAGTTTATAATAATAGCTTAATACACCACAAAAAACGTCTCTCCACAATCTTTCTATTCTTTGATTATGAGTACTTTTACCATTTAACATACTTCCTCAACCTTCTCCACGATTCGCAATCATGTAATCTGCAATAAGTATTTTTTCCACACCTTGTCTGATCTGACTCTACTTGGCAGACCAAATTCATTAACACCTTTTATAAAGTAATTAATTACGGTGTTAGCCTTGTTATTGAATGAACACGCGAGGGAAACTGGCAAACGACTAAAACCATCTATAACTCCTGTTATTATAAAATACCAACATACTAACTTATGATTCGTATCAACGTGCCATAGATGATTTGGCCCTTTTACATTGTAGATTCTGCGATGAAAACTGTTTTTCCTTTGCACTTGGTTTCCTAAGTTGTCTACTAGAAGTAGATATTGATTTTCGCAATACTGATCTTTGGACACTTATACCTTGACATTTTAATATTTGGTTAAGTATTCTTTCTCCGCATTTTAGAAACTCATTTGTTAATAAAGCTACTCACAAATCAAGATCATCATTTGTAATATTAGAAAAACTATACTTTTTAAGATTGTAATCGTTCATTCGACGGTAAATAGTACTCTCAGCAACATTTAGAAGCCTAGAAATGTCTTTAATTGTAAATTCTTCTTCTAAAAGATTTTTTAACACATTACAAGGTATTTCAAACTTTGAGGGTCCTCCACGTTTACTTGGATACTTATTAAGTATTTTTGTATAGTAGATTGAACATTTAACCTTTAATTCCATTACTTTTTGTTTGTTTGAAACACTTATTACTTCAAAGTCTGTCAAAGACAACTTTAAAATCAGATCAATATTTAAATTTCCCGTTGAAAGTTTGTAATAAGATGAGAAATTCGATGATCTCGCATTGCTCTCTTTAGCTGATGGTCTGCTATTTTAAAAATTATACGTGTAATCTATAAAGTATAATAATTTTATAAAATAATGATCACATCATACAATGCTTTGGCACATCATATAATGTAGGGCGCAAATTATATATTGTAGAAGCACATCATATAATACTTTAGCATATCGTATAATACAGTGAGCACATCATATAACACAGTGAGCACATCATATAAAGAAATGAGCGTATCATATAATGAAGTGAGCATAGTACATAATGTAGTAGCACTTCATATAATGAATTATCACATTATATAATGTAGCAGCACATCATATAATGTAGTGAGCACATCCTATAATATAGAAAGCACAGCGTATAATTTAGTGAGCACAGCATATAATGTAGTTAGCGCAGCATATAATGTAGTAAAACGTAAGCACCACATCGTATAATGCAATGAGTGCAACATATAATGTAGTTAACACATCGTATAATGCAATATAAGCAGCAAACAGTGTAGTGAGCACATCGCATAATGAACTGAGCGCACTTAAGGCAGCTTTGGCGTTCCATACAATATCACCTCAATCTTTTAAAGATAATAAAATATTGCCAAAAAAAATATATTATAAAAAACTATATATATATATATATATATATATATATATATATATATATATATATATATATATATATATATATATATATATATATATATATATATATATATATATATATATATATATATATATATATATATATATATATATATATATGTATATATATATATATATGTATATATATTTATACTATATAAATATATATATATATATATATATAATATATAAATATATAAATATATATATATATATATATATATACATATATATATATTTATTTATATATACATATATATATATATATATATATATATATATATATATTTATATAGTATAAATATATATATATATATATATATATATATATATATATATATATATATATATATATATATATATATATATATATATATCTGTGTGTGTGTGTGTGTGTATGTGTGTGTGTGTGTGTGTGTGTGTGTGTGTGTGTATGTGTGTGTGTGTGTGTGTGTGTGTGTGTGTGTGTATACATATAAAGTAAGAAAGTTATTTTTACAATAACAAAGACATTTTGCAATACCTATATTGCAAATTCAAAGATTTGTATATATATGCAAACATATACACAAAGTTTTTAATTTAGTACTTTAATATATATAAGACTCGTAAAACATTAGTAACTATTAAGAGTTACTACTAAGAAGTAAAATTCATTTTAATAAATTTGCAAAATTGTTGTTGAATTATTATTTCGCAAAATTTAAATTTTTTTTTTTCTTGAAACTTAAATTAGTTTAATGATTTTTTTTATTACGTTGTTAATTATTTAATGCAATGATACCTAATTGTATACTTACACTCTAAATAACATGCATAATTTACTGTAGTGTACTTTCTAATGTGCTGACAAGGATCAGAACCAAAGTTAGAATTATCAGAAGAAATTAAACAACTACTATTTCCCTTACACAACTGTTTAATAACAGCTGTGACATTTTTTGAGTTGCATGGGTTTAATTGTAAAGTCAAATTTGTTGGACATGTTTGATTGTCGAAGCGACCATAAAATGCACTTTCAATTTTAAGCAACGAGTTTTGTGGACATTTTATTACCTTTGAATATGGTTCACATATTTCATCTACAAAAAAATAACAAATTAAAAAAACTATACCCAAATTTTATCATTTAAAGGTTTTAAAAAGTAAAACTAATTAAAAATATAAAAAACTTAAAACTTAATTTTCATTGGATTGAAAGATCTTTTTTCAAATAAATGTTATAACAAAGTTTAATTACAGTGAAGGAAATTGAATTTTAAGAGTAACATGTTATAGTGGTTATTAATAAAATGTTTTATAATTTCAGTAAATAAATTCCGTAAAAACTGGAATGAAACTCTTTTTAAAATAGAAAGACTTTCTTCCAAAAAGTCTTTCGATGTATGTACATTTATGGTGCCTATCCCTAAATCCAGTGTCGTGGCTAGTTGGTCAGAGACATCCTAAAATTTCTTATATTAGCCCCAAAAATACATAAAACTGTTTGTTGCTCGGTATTCCAAAAAAAAGATCCTGAAATTTGCAAAAGGGCACCCAAAATTGATAGTCTTTAATGTTTTGAATAAAATGAAACAAGATGGAGTTGATGCAATAAAAGTTGTTGAAACAAGAATATTTAAAGTAACCCATATAGACACAACTGCAGTATTGTGCCTGTTTCTGAAAAAAATATTTCGTATTTTAGAAATATTTTTTTCAGAAACAGGCACAATATTGCAGTATTGTCTATATGGGTTCAGATGACAGTGGTACTATTTAGAAACAAAGTGTTCCATTTATGATTGTTAGTTTAAAGAAATCTATTCCTTACATTATAGATACACTCACTGGAGTCACGATACAGTTTTAAAATTTGGAGAGTTGTTACTGACAATCATCAACCAAATGTAACAATATTTAGTTTGCTTTAGTCTAAATTTGGTAATCCATAAAACTAGTATTCATATTATCCTGATGGCTAAAGTATTAATTTATACTAGTTATATAACAGCGTTAATATTGTCGAAAGTATCAGAGATATTACACTATAAAAAATTAGTATTTCCATCATTTCAATATAATATAAAAAATGATTTCTATAATTGCCCAGCTAGTTATATTATTATGAGAGAATTTATTCTTCTGTATTCTAAAGTTGAACAACTTCAAGGTATTTTAAAAACAGCTCAATAAACAAAATCAAGGTCTACATCAAAGTCTTCACCATTGGCTACTTATATAGCAAAGAAATTGATTAAAAGAAGCAATACATTAGGGTTTGTCAAAGTAATGTTGGATAATATAACATATTTTACAGGTGTAGTGCCAAAATACTGTTAAAATAAAAAAATGCAATCTGGTCAGACCCGTAGAATCCGGCTCATATTATATATATATATATATATATATATATATATATATATATATATATATATATATATATATATATATATATATATATATATATATATATATATATATATATATATAATATATATATATATATATATATATATATATATATATATATATATATATATATATATATATATATATATATATATATATATATATATATATATATATATATATATATATATATATATATATATATATATATATGTATAAACTCTACACATTGTGTTTTCAAAATTTCGAAAAATTTCGAACCCGTCTAATTAGTATTTAGAATATGTTGATTAATTACAAATGCTATAAATAAAAACATTAAAAATCTGTAAAAGTGAACCTTAAAATATGTTGACACGGGTCAGAAAATGACCATTTACGTTTGATTTTAGAACACCCTAATTGTTTTTATTAATTTTACTTAAAAAGCTTTAAAGTTACACACAACTGGAAAAATTAAGATCCAGCGGGAGGGAATTTCAGAAAAAACGTTGGGGATGAACCTATAAAATTTTTACGTTAAAGTAAAGAAACTTCAAAAAATGCTGCAAATTTTAAAAATTTACATACTTATACTAAAATTAAATGATGTTGTTTTGCCAAAAATAAAGTTTAATTTTTGGAACATAGAAAATACAACGCTTTTAGGGGGAATAATCCCAAATAAAGCATATAAAAAACTTTTAAAATTATGAAAAAATATAAAAACATTTTTGTACAATCTTATAGTAAATCAACTTTAATTCAAATTATAAAAAATATAAATTATAAAAAATATACAAATTGCAGAATAAAGTTTATAGCTAAAAATTTTTTATTTCCCTTTCCCGATCCAAGAAAATATGAGGAAGTTTTTATTTTACATGACCATAATTTCTAAAATACGTAAGATTTTTACGTACGTAAGATATAAACCTTGAAATTTTACAAGCAATTTTAATACAGTTTAAGAAATTACAAAAATATTTTTTAAATTCACATGTCCCCTTTTCAATTAAGGCAGGTGGCGTCAATTTTTTTTTTTTTTTTTTTTTTTTATATTCACAAAATTCTTTAATCACAGTTATTTTTTTGGACACATTTGTCTTTTTGAGAATAGTATTTAAAAAAAAAGAGTTTATGATATAAATTCAGCTTAACTTCAAATATTACGATTTATTAGTTATTTGAAGATAATGAGGATTAAATAGAGTTTAACAATGTTTGTAATTGGTATTAAAATTTATTTTAATAAACTTAATTTATAAATTTACTCTTGTTACTTAATATTGATTTAGTTACTATTAAAATTACATTTATAATGGTTTCTTTTAGCATTAAAGAAAGAAAAGAGATTTAAGTTAAAAAATCTCATAAGTTGAACAAATTTTTAGTCTGTACTCAAGTGTATTCCAGTTAGAGAAAATTCTGAAAAGCTCGTTTTAAAGCATTGTCATAATGACTACAGTATTAAGGGTATAAAGTACCATGCTTGACTATGCTTTACGTGTAAAAAAAGTCTGTACCTGGTTAAAGCTGGAATTTCAACATTAGTTTAACGGAAATGGAACAAAGAGTCTTTAGGCAATTTCGCTTATAAGCAAATCGGCAAAATCTTAGGTACTGTATCATGCTTACTTTTTTTAGATTAATTTTAACTAAGTTCATTAAATAATTATTTAAAAATATAAACAAATAAAATATAAAGATAATAATTTCAGGAAAAGTTGGTGTTTGCATAAGTTCAAATACTGCTTGCTTCAATGTTTGTCATAAATATTTTCAAGTTTTTGGTAAAGGTAAATGTCATAAATGCTACCCTGGAAAAGAATCAAAGGATTTGGCATCTTATCTCTTAATTAAAGATATTAAAATAAAGTATTTATTTAAAATATAAATGTTTCTTATTATTAAAAGCGTTAAACTCCATCTTATTTTCTAAATTTAAATGCTATCCGATCTTGCGCGCAATGATATGAGGTACTCCGCTAGGCAATTAGCTGGAACAGTATAAATCACAATACCTTACTTAATGAAAACCTCTTTATGTTTCTTAAATGTAAATACGTCTCAAAGCTTTTCTCAAATTTTAAACTAAATTCAAGTTTTAAACTCTTTTTCGAAAAACCTTTTTATCTAAAGTCAAACCATTTTAAAAACTCTGTAATAGTGCTATCAATGTCATGTATTAGTGGTAGTTAAAAAATTTTAAATTATATTTAAAAATATCTTTTTTTTATGTATAAAAAGTTTTTGAAAATGTATACACTATTTGAGTTTTTACAAACCCACAAGCAAATGTATATAAAATGAGATGTCTTTAAGAGGTGTTTTTTTTTCAAATTTCTTTAAAAAAAAATTTAAGTTTACTTATATAATAGTATTACTTTTACTATTTTGTTATTTAAATACTGTGGGATATTTTATAAGAAAAAGAAAAAAAAAATGTTTATAAATGTTTATAATTATTCTTTCTATGTTTAATTTCCTGTTTTATTTCTATAAAGCTAGACTCACCTGACATATTTATGTCTACATATTAAATTTTATGTATCTAATTTAAAAATAAATAACTATTCAAAATATTATAAAAAGCTAACTTGAGCTTCAATTCACGCTCAGCGACAGTTATCCTTGGGTGGGATGTGGGCAACCCATTTGGGCCTTAAAAGCTGCCCACATGGGTCCCATGTGGGGCCCATTATGAATAGCTGCCTGGGTACCACTGTAACACATGACATTTAAAAATTTATGAAATAAAAAAAAAGAAACTGTTTAAAAATCTAATGGAAAAAAATATAAAACTCTCACTAACGGTTGACTTTACGCTCTTGTTAACAATTTAATAAAAAAATTTGAGTTGTATGTATTGGGGTTATTATTGAGTGGTATGTATTGGGGTAAAAAAAGTTACATGCAACGCTGAACAAACAAAACTTTATAAATGGCTTGCACCACTTCCATGTCATACACATACGACTAAGTAAGGGCAAAAGTTGCATTATACTCGTTGTTATTTTATCTAAAAATTCATGAAAAAACAGAAACTTTAAAAAACAGTTTTTAAAAATAAAACTTATTCAAATAAAATTAAATATAAAAAATATAAAAATGCTTTTGAAAAAAACAAAACATACTAAAAAAATATAGTATTACTCTGAACGAATAGACAAATCTGAAAATAATTCACAACATTTAAGGAATGCAATTAAAGAAATAATTGGTCAAAGTAAATAAAAAAATAAGGTTTTTCCAATGAAACTTTTATTTAACAAAATAAAGTCATTTTGTGATAATATACTAATAAATGAAAAATTAAATAGCTTTTATGATAATATTGGTTCTAATTTGGCATGAATTATTCCTCCAACTTCACTCACTTGTAATTCCTATCTACATTAGGAGTTTTACATTAGGAATTTTCATTGATCTATCCATAGCTTTTAACACCGTAAATCAATCAATTCTAATAAAACTAACGGAGCATTACGGAATAAGGGATTCAAACCTACACTGGTTTAAATATTACTTGTCGAACAGGAAACAATACGTGCAGTGTAGTATTATAGAAACAAGCAAAAACAATATCTCTTGTGGAATTCCACAGGGTTCCATATAAGAAACTTTACTTTTCTTTCTATAAACTAATGATTTATCTTCAACATCAAACTTATTGGATTTTATTTCTTTTGCCGATGGCTAAAACCCTTAT